ATAGATAAGAGAGAATCAAAACATTATGGTACCCTACAGTAATAATAAAAGCCACAGCTTTGAAAAACTGACTGAGAAACAGAGCCAGGCAGCCTACATGTTTGTGCCCTGGTCTTCCTGAAATCTAAGTGCAGTTATTGACAGGAATTCATATCAGACTTTCAATATTAAATGTGATTATTGGGCAAAAGAGCATCATATGTGGATTTTTAATGAATTTTAATAGTTGATAATTTGAAATAATAAGGGATGCAAAGAAGCACAGTAGGCTTCCACCATCATCTTTACTCTTGGCAGCAGCATGGAAGAATTGTGCGTATCATTGTTATTATTAGAAAAGCACCCTTAGCTAGCCAAAGCAAACAAGAAAGGTTTCTTCTCCTGTTCATTGCCATGACAGCCACCCAACTGCTGCCTGGCTCCTCCTGAGATCATCAGGAAGAGAGGAGGATGAGGTCTGGACATTTATGCCTAACGCTTAAAATTATTTTCAGGGTGGAAAATTCTACAGCAGGTAGATATTTTGGCACAGCTCAAATAAGAGGAAGAAGCTATTTTCTCAGTTGTTGACTTCAGAAAAGTTTTACCCCTGTGCATTTAGAATCCAGATCTCCAGACTCATAATCTAACTATTTTCCCCCTTCACTTGCTGACCCTGGAATCAGACTGAGACTTAAATCTCATCCAGTCTGATTTTACTTTGCATAAAAAACAATTTTTTTAAAACTGTGTACAAACTCAATAGCCACTTTTGGTGTTTATAGCTGGATACCACGTATTTTGAATGGAATTTTGAGCTTTAAACAATTTACGTACATGTTAGTAGTAAAAATGTCTTAATGACACAGATCTATAATCATTTCAGCATCAGACATCCCTGTAAACTAGTTGTTTTTATATATTATACTATATTTGATCTTTGTAAAACCAACAAGAGTCAGGATCTAAGGTCTAAGTCCCTGAAGAGATGACAGTGTTCACCCTTTGACAGATTCTTCAGAGAGATTCAGAAGGAGCCCAGCAGTGTTTACCTTGCTGGGATCCAGAAGAGTGAACAAGTAGCTGGTCTCCCCTGGTCCTCTGATTGCCTAGTATCTTAAGTATTGCTAGTGAAATGTGTCCATTTTTAGCTGGATTATACTTTTACCTGATTGTGGTATACATTGCTTTTTCAATTTTAGTACAATATTTTCATGTCTAAAGTGAAACAAAATATTTACCCATGGTTACATGATACTTTGAATATTCTGTATGCTCCCAAACATCATGCCTACTTACCATTTTATAATGAACATGTGAAACTGAGATCATGATCTATAACAAACCTACAAGATCAAAGCTTTTCTTCCATCCTTTGCTACAGTGTATTTTAATGAGATTTTGTTTTGGAATCTTAAGAAAGTACAATCCCTATGCTTTGCTTTCTAAATAATGTATATCAGGTGGATAATCAATCATTTAGCAGTTATCTGTTCTAACTACATTATCTGCAAAAAAGAAGAGGAAGAGGAAGAGGAGGAGGAGGAGGAAGGAGAAGAAGAAGAGGAGGAGGAGGAAGAGGAGGAGGAAGGGGAAAGGGAGGAGGAGGAGGAAGAGGAAGAGGAAGAAGAAGAAAGAAAAAACCCACTTATCTATTGTATCAATTCAGATCTTACTACTGGAGATACATTCTTCCTATTATCAACTGAATTCTCTGTAAAATCTCCAAGAAAGCAAACCTTGCATTAAGGTGGCTGTGAAGTTTTATACTTACTAGCTGGAGTCTTTAATCTGTGTCTCTAATCAGAAGAGAAATTCCTAAGATTACCCAAGCTCCAAAGGTTAGTTTGATATACAGAGCACCCATGAGTGGGACTATCTGGCCTAAAACGTTAGATTCCCATACCTACTTTTTCCTTTACTTTTAAAACTTTACTGTTTTTAAATGGACCTACAATTCAAATGTTTTACCTTTCGATAGAGTTTTTACTGCAATTGCTTATAGAGCTATGGCCATTGGAGAAACACTTGTTTTGGCACCTGAGTAATCCAAGGCCAAATCTGGGGCTGCACATCTGTTTGCTTTGTTGGAAAAGAAACCAACTATAGACAGCCAGAGTCAAAAAGGGAAAAATCCAGTAAGTACAACTATGATTTTAAGTGTCCACTTATCAAATGAAGAAATTATTTGTTAACTCTGCAAAAGATAGTTCTACTAACACAAGGAGTTAAAATTTTGTATCGAAGAATTTTATGACTACAAAGAAGGAAGAAGGTCTCGTCTTAATCAGACTTTCACCCCTATATTAAAAATATATGCTTTTATTAGCCTGATGCCATGAGAGTATTCTTTTTGGGGGGAGGGGGTACCAGGGATCGAACTTGGGTCCTTGAGCTTGCGAGGCAGGCACCAGAACCACTGAGCTAAATCCCCGGCCCCCATGAGCGTATTCTTAAACAAATAATTTACTCGAATACTGGAATGTATTCAGACAGCAACGGTTTTAGTCTTGGGTGGAGATCTGTATTAGATTTTAGTCATTTTTTTCCTCTGATAATATATGCAAGTAAATAATGTGGTATTGCCTTATACACTGTTTTTCATAACAAATACTTCTACAAACATAAGAGGAAAAATGGGAACTTTATTTATGAAGTTGATATATACACAAATTTAGCCACAAACTCTAAGAGACTGTATTAAATGGGAAATAAGGATTTAAATAATTTCAAAATAAGCTTCTCAATAATAGTCTTACACAACATATATATTCAATTTTGAGACCTTTCTGAATATTTTAAATTTAAAAATAGGAACAGCCATTGATTGTATATTTAAATTTTTTTCATTTGTAACTATTTCCCTAGAATTTTAATAGATTTTTATACATTACAGTTTAAACAAAACAGTATCAAATATCTGCATAATTATTAAAAGGAGTGCCCATTGTTATGACAGAAATAAAAAGATCTTGAAATTTTCAAAACTAAATGCTCAAGATATAGCACAATCAAAATAAGATTTCATACTTGTCTTTTGGAAAGTATAAGATGAAAGAAGTATTTTTTAATCTTAGGATTTGTATGTATAATATTACTAAAATTTCTAAAATTATAATAGAGAAACTGTGTATCTCTCACAGATATGTGTCCGTATAGAACTATATGCAGGGATATAGAAATATTTCATATAAAGACTATAAAATTAACATATTTAATCTATTTTTATATGCTAATATTTTTCTGCAATTCCTCTGCTTTTAAAAATTAAAGTCCACCACCTGCCTCAAAAGCAGAAGGACCTGAGTTCGATCCCTGGTACCAAAAAAAAAAAAATTAAAATCTGCTAGAACAAAATTAGCCAAAACTATACACACTGAAGCTGAGTGGTAGGCATATAGAAATCCATTATATTTTTCTCTCACTTCTGGTATGATTGAAATTCTCCATAGTAAACACAATTAAAAATAGTAAAATTAAATTTTAAAAGTATTAGTCTAGAAGTTTCTTAAGACTATCTTTCCATGCCTTTACCAAAGGCAACCGAGCATATGTAGAAACAATTGCACCCTCTGTTTTAAAGGTTAAAAGTACTTATATTGTGGCATACATCAATTTAGATATTTTCTTCTACTTCTACAAGATATGATCAGAAAATACGGTGAATGTTTAATTTTGTTAAATGTACTGCAGTAAAAGATACATCACTTAATCCCCTTCAAAATACTTCCTTTTACTTCAAACTGACGTATCCTATCTGAAGCAGTTCTGGAAGACCTCTTTCATACATTTACTTTTCAATGTCATTTTGACTTTGGGGAAGAGCTAGAAGCCGCCACATGTGTCAAATCCAGTGAATGAAGTGGATGAGAACCCACCATAATGTTTTTATTTTACAAAAATTGTCTTTTGAAATGATTCAGGACATTGAGGCAGCCATGGAAAGGCATTCATGTAAGAGGACTTCCAAAACTGCTCAAGAAAGTGGCAAGAACAATGGCATAAGTGAGTTCAAAGAAAGAGGGAGTATTGTGAGGAAGATTAATGGCAATGTGTCTTTTACACTAATTAATCTTTTTATTTTTAATTTAAACATTCACCGTAATGTTTATTATACCTCATATAACTTTTACTCATATCCTAATATTCCTTTCTTTGACAACAGAATCATATCATCAAAACTTGGTACCTTTAGGCTGGGTTCAAAAAGTGCTAAATGTGACTAAATCTGACATAAGGAATCTGTCTGGAAGTCCATCTATCAGTACTACCAGCTACCCATCACACCCAACACACATACATATCCATCTACCCCTTCTTAGTTTACATCTACCCTAACAACAAAAGTTAAAATGCAATTGGAAGGGGCTGGGGATTTAGCTCAGAGGCACTGCAACTGCCTCACAAGTGCAAGGTCCTGAGTTCAATCCCCAGTACCAAAAAAAAAAATGCAATTGGAGGGACACAGAGCAGTGGTAGAGCATGTGTGTAGCACACATGAGGCCCTGGGTTCAATCCTCAGCAACACACAAAGAAAGACAATTGGGAGAAAACATGAAGTTCAAAAGAACCCAAAAGCTTATAGGCCAAAAATGTAAAGGAAAAGTTAAACATTACTTAGTGATAGTTCTGGAAATTCTTTTGAAAATATTTTTGGTGTATATTAATATTAGTTCACATACAAATCATCACTCACTAAAGATATTGAAACACAGAAAGAAACCTAAACTAAGCAAGTGTTACTGCCAAATAATGATCAATGGAAACTAAACATTAAGCAGAATTCAAAACATAATGTACATTAACTGTAAAATATGGTCCAGCTTACAGAATACACTTTATGAGGACATGAGCTCCTCTGAATTAACCAATAAAGTTCTGTAAAGCACAAACCAAATTAAAAAGAAAAAACATGTATTTATCCAGAGCAGCTGGTCACACAGATAATCTATAGAATGGACTGTGTCTGCATAGCCAAGCCAAAGGACGCTTATGTTTCTAGGAGAAATACAGTAGTGAAGGTACCAAGAAATACAGATATAAAATGTAAGCAATGTGACAGAAACTAGTATTCTGCCAGCAGCTCTAAAGAGATGAAATATAAAACTGAAAATTAAGGGCCAGGGATTCAGTGGTGCTGGCGCATGCCTTGAGAGCACAAGGTCCTGAGTTAAATCCCCGGTACCAAAAAAAAAAAAGAAAATTAAAATTATTGTGAGAATATGCACAGTTTTCAAAAGGCACCTAGCCAAGATGCTCCCATGTGTTACACCAGCCTAAGTCACCCAGCTAAACACTGTCCACTTCCTTTCACAGGACACATTTGAAGGGAATTTAGAGTTTCGAGAAGTCTCTTTCTTCTATCCATGCCACCCAGAAGTTTTTATCCTTTGTGGTTTATCCCTCAGTATTGAGAGAGGGAAGACAGTCACATTTGTTGGGAGCAACTGCTGTGGAAAAATCACGTCTGTTCAGCTTCTACAGAGATTTTATGATCCTGTGAAAGGACAAGTAGTAAGACTGAATGTAATCACACCTAACCTGGGGGTTAATGGTACTGCTCTTACACTTGGGTGTAAGCATCTTCACTGGTTTGGGTAGGGCAAGCATTGCAGAAGTTTAAAAAAAAGAAAGAAATCAATCTCTATCCCCATCCTTAATTAAGAAACAAACAAACCAATAACAAAATGATGGTTTCCTTCCTGGCCATCTGTACTCTTAACTGTCAATACTTTATGCACAATTAAGTCTTATTTGAATCAACACCATTACTTTGTGGGTCTTGATCTTAAAAAGATGTAACCTCTTCTTCCTTTGAACTGAAGGATTGTTTTTCTTACTTTGACTAATGCTACTATACAGTATATAACATATGCTAGATTTCCTTTATCCTCTCATTCCTAACTCTGTCTCTCTCTCTGTCTCTTTCTCTCAGCAAAAAACTGTAGGTCCCTAAAGGTCCAAAACTGTCACATTGAGCTGGGGATGTAACACGGGGATACAGCAATTGCCTAGCACACAAAAGCCCTAGGTTCAATCCCCACTACCAAAAAATAAAGATAGTCACATTAATCCTCACTCACCTACAATTTACAGATTTTTCTACATTATAGATTCTCAATGAATATTTTTAAACCAGAATTGTCCAAAATGGCTTTCTTGAACTAGGTAAATGTTCGTCTATTTGCACATAGTATAGCATATTCCTTCCTTGAAACACTCCAATGGTTTCCTATTGCAGTCCATACCATCAGTGTCCATACCATCAGCCACAGTCCTTTATGATCTGGGCCTTGCCTCCCTCTCCAAATTCTTGTATCTCTCTTCACCTCACTGGTCACTGTGTATCCACTGCCCTGGCTTTTGTATGTTCTTTACACACACCTATGAGCCCTTCTTCTTGCTATTCCCCTGCCTAGAATGATACTACTCCAACTTCCTTGCTAGCTGCTTCTCATTATTCATGTCTCAGTCTGAACACCCCTTCCTAAGGACTTCTTAGACAACCCTATAGAAAGGAATGTACCCTTCTTCACTTTCCCTTTCCACATCCTCTCCAATGCTCCAGTTGCTCTGTCTTATCCTGTCTTCATAGAACTTTCTTTTTCTGAGTTTGTCTCTTGGTGTGTTTATTGCCTGCCTTTCTCTGCTGGAATGTAATAATGTGAGAGCTATATCCTATAATATTTCCCTGGTACCTGAAGAGTTCCCATCATATAGTAGGCATGCTCATCAAATATCAGTTAAATGTTGTTATATGTCCCTGTGCATAACATGGCCATAAACAAAATGACATGTCTCTACAAGTGGACTTCTGTGACAGTCTATACCTATTCTCTTTGGGCTTCAATAAATGAGTCCTGTTACAAAGAAGGAAGAGGTCGGTCATATTCCATCTGACTTAAGAACAGAGCACCAAGGTTTACTACGTGCTTCTGGCAGTTCTCTGGAATATGAGGCCATTTCTAGGACTGTCAAGTAAGTTTGGAAGCAACACTTCAGTGAATTATACGCTGTTTGCTTTACACAACATATGATTTATGAGCTTTCCTTAGGTAACATTACACTTTGAAATAGCTTGAATTCCTAACCTTCTTGTTATGATTTGTATATGCTTGAAGTGTTTGGATACAGTGAACTGTAACATGATATAGCTGTCAGATCTTAACATACCATTCTCCATTCTGCTTTTGGCAACTGTTTGATGGTATAGATGCAAAAGAATTGAATGTACAGTGGCTCCGTTCCCAAATAGGCATCGTTTCTCAAGAGCCTGTGCTCTTCAACTGTAGCATTGCTGAGAACATTGCCTATGGTGATTACAGCCGCGTGGTGTCCTTAGATGAGATCAAAGAAGTCGCAAATGCAGCAAATATCCACTCTTTCATTGAAAGTCTCCCCAAGGTAAGAAAACATCTGCAATCCCGTATTACAAACCTGCCAAGTAAGCCTAAGTAGTTGATGGGCCAAAGTGGTTGTTTTTATATATCCTTGAATTATACCAGTTATTTATTGCCAGTATCTCACACAAAGTTAGCATAAAAAACAAAGTTTTTGAGATTTTCATGTGACTATTTTTTCCGAGTTTGAAATGCATTTGTATTCCCTGAATTAGTTTTCACATTTTGATTCTTCCCCTTCTAATCGTCTGCACTCAGCCTTGTCCACACAACCACTGCCCTCCCCTCTGGACTGCAAAGGCTCCTAATCCACCTTGCTGGCTTCCCCTTTATATGCCTTCTTCTTCCCAGCAACCAGAGGGATTCTTTATGACATAAATTAGATCATGACCCTCCCCTGCCTCCTGGCTCCCCTTTGCACTCAGAATGAAGTCCATACTCCTCATGTGGCTGAAGAGGTCTATGTGGTCTGCCCAGCTGCCCTTCCAGCTTCAGCCTTACCACCTGCTCAGTCTGCTGCAGTCCTGCTCAGTCCATGAACATGCCAACTCATGCCCTATCTCAGGACATGTGCACTTGCGGTTTCCTCATCCTGGGTCTCCCTCTCTCTGGCTTTTTGCATAGCCAGCTCCTTAACTTCCAAGCACTTTCAAATGCCACCCTTTGCAGAGGCTTTCCCTGGCTACCCTATTTAAAACAGTCCCCTCAACTACTTGTCCCCATAACACTGCCTTCAGGCACTTATCACAGTCTGAACTTACTCTGAGAGCTCATTTACTTATTTCCTGCTTCCCCTCCCCACTGAAGCTTAGGAACCTTGGCTGCCCTTCCTGTCACCTTGATCTCCGTATTGGCTGCAACTAACACAAAACCTCAGAAAAATAAAAAACCTTGGGTTTAGTATAGTGAACACTGAACACAGAGCTATACACAGGGACAAGTAATTAGATCTCTGAATGATATCTGAGTGTCTGTATCTACCCACACAAACAAAAACACCTACTTCTAATCAGAAACAATTTTTTTTTTTTGGTACCGGGGATCGAACTTGGGTCCTTGCGCTTGCAGGGCAGGCGGCAAAACCACTGAGCTAAATCCCCGGCCCCTAGAAACAAATTTTTATGAAGTGATTTTTATAGTGATTTTATAATAAACTTTAAAAGGAAATAAGAGTTTCACAACCAGCAGATTAATGTAGGCCACTGATACTTGGTGGAGGCTAATGGTGACCATACCCTTTATCATACTACCTTTAAAACTATTAGATCTTCGCTCTCGAGCTCTGCTTCGCACTAAATGGTGCCTACAACTAGAAACAGGCCATTCATAAAATTTCTTATATTCTGATATGATTCTGCAGTATTAAATATATCAGAATGATTAACATATTTTCTATATATAGTGCAATGCTGTGTCCTTCTATGGCAGTTTCCTTTTCTAACCAAGGTACTCTGCATTGTTAATTCATAGTCAGATTGTTATCCACATAAACCTGATAGTGTGTTTTATTCATGTAAAGTGCTGTCAATTTTACATTTTTACCATTTGACTTTTATTCTTACATTGTTTACTATCTTTCATTCATTTCATTTCACTATTTCTCAAATTATCCAAAAGCACATATGCAAAGATTTATCGTGCTTTTTTCAAATGGATTTTAAAACCAAAATGTTTATTTCCCTAAAAATTAAAAAATAATAGCTTATTTTCTCAGTGTTTTTAACTTTAAGTTACCTTCATATCATTATTTCCCAAAAAAATACTGTAGAATCAACTAGAAGGAAATTCGGAGCCAAAATAAAAATCATCAATAATTAAAATCAGAGATTCCTTAGAAAAACTACATTATTATAATGCCTTAGACCACTACCTGGGTAAGACAAAACTGCCCTCTTATGTTGAGTTGAGTAAGGAAAATGAAGCAAGGAAAACAGCCTTTCATCTTCCCAGCACTCTAATAACAAAGAGTTAAGCTCCAACATAATACACCAGGATGATATAACAACACCATTTTACAGATAAGGAAGTTTCATTAGCCTCTCTAAAGCTGTACAGAGAATCAGTGTTGGAACTTGGGTTCTTTGTGATGTACTGAAGGGAGGTGGGGAATCATGTAGGGTTGTTCTAGGGTTACAGAGATGGAAACCAAATGCCCAAAGTGCCCAAAAGCAGCTTCTGGTCTACCAAAAAGTCAGTCCAAGCAACCAACATAGCCTGGGAACACTGTATGGGTGTGACACTTAGGAACAAGTTTCAACTCTCCACTAGGTATTTGGGGAAGAAAAATAAAAGTGAACTTTGTGATGTGATGTACTTCCTTTGGAAAGAATCAATTTAATTTTCTAGACCATATAAATGGATTTAAGCATCCCCTCCAAATATAAGACCACAGTATCAATGTAAAAATAAGCAAGCACAACTCTGAAAGAGAAGTTCAGCTCTTCAAATAACATTGAATATACAATATATCTCCATACTTGAAGCTAGCACAGGAAGAAACTCTTCACATATTACAAATCAAGATAGTATCCATCTTAATCTTCTTCGCTTTAAAGTGGTTGCCATACTTTTGCTAACTGAAGATTTATTTTATCTTTATTTGTATGGATTGATCCTTCTGCCAAGTGTTTTTTACTCAAAATCTACATTTCCTATCTTCATTCCCCTACCCCAATACTCATGCAGCTATTCACTCAATACACAGCTACTGAGCCTTGTTCTTTGCAAACCACTGGGTCATGATTTAGAGAAGGTAGCCAAGACAAATAAAGTATAATTCTACATTGTTGAGATGAACATAGATGAACACATACACAAATCATTGTAATGCATGAAGAATGTAAACAAACTACTGAGTTCAAGGAGAGTGGCTCAGAGGCTGGCAGGTCAGACAGGCACTTAGAGAATTTAGAGGTGACCTGAATATTGATCAGCTAGAACATCAGTAGTCAAGGATATAACAGGGCATTCTCTATAATAAGGCAGTGGTTATGGTCTGAGTAGAACCACAGAGACAGAAACTACTAATGTGTTCACAGAATGATAAGCAGTTAGACTAGGGAGTAGAACATATAAAATATAATGTTTGATGGCCATGTTAAGGTAAAACTGTATCTGAATACAAAGCAAAGATATTTTTACCTGACAGTTTCCAAGGAGTCACTAAAGGTTTCTGAATAGGGAAGATGTTTGGAATTACACATCTATTGGACATGTAAATGACAATATAAAATGACAAAGAGAGAGTTTGGGAGATCAGTTAGGACCTATTACCAGGGATAGATAGGATACATAATATTTGTTATAAGGTTATGCTACAAGCTCTGTACAACCATTCTACACACACTTCCTGAAATCAGGCAGATGTGGAGAGAAAGGCAGTTCAGTTGCACTTCTGCTGGGTACTAAAGCAAAATGAATCACATATGAATCATCCACTGCACCTTCTGAGAGACATTGCTACAAGATTCTCCTCTGGAAGGTTGCACATTTGGACTTGCTTTTTAAGTGGGGCTGATCCATCCACCTGTTCTTGTCTGGATATCAATGACACATGTTCCTTAGACAATTGCCAAGGGCTACTAGAAAGCAGTGAGAAGTCTTGAAGGGAAAGTAAAGTCAATGGGACAGTCTAGAAAGCAAGCAGGAACCTGCTTATCCCAAATGAACTGACCAGTCATGAATTTAGGGATCATTCTGGCTTCAAGATATGAAATGTTCCTTACTTACATTTCCACAGAAACAAACACCACAGGAAAAAGTTATTAGTAAGTAGGGAGGGGGGGGGTACTAAATGTCACTGAGAACACTTTGTGGTATGAAAAAGTAAATGGACCATGTCAAGATGCCAGCCTTATCTCCAGGAAGGTGCAGGCCCCACTGAGAAACATATCCTAGCATCTGCAGGGAGCTGTCCCTAGAGGTTTAGCAGGAGCCAAAGGGAAGGAACTCAATTTCCTTGTTTTAAAATAGTTTGAATCATTTTGACCTGAAAATAGAAGGTAATATAGCTTAATGGACAAGAATTTGTGTTTAGTGGGAACTTTTTTTGCCAACAATTCTTTTTCTTATGCTTTAATTTGAAAAACTCCTTTGTAGAGACATAATGGCAAAGGTCTGCTCTTTGGGATCAGATTAGATACTTAAATGGGATGGTAGTGTTTTCCACTTGTTTAGCTTTTGTTTGCAACAAAACTCAAGAATAGATTCCAGCCTGATTGGGTCACAAATTTTCAAGAGTAGCAAATTTGAAATATTTATATGGTTCTTGCCCACAGTTGCCATGCTAATTTAAATAACCAAGACTTGCTTTCTTAATTGCATGTTCCTTAAATAGAAATACAACACACAAGTGGGACTGAAAGGAACACAGCTTTCTGGTGGCCAGAAACAAAGACTAGCTATTGCAAGGCAAGGGCTCTTCTACGAAAACCAAAAATTTTACTGTTGGATGAGGCCACATCAGCCGTTGATAATGAGAGTGAAAATGTAAGATCCTCTTCTTTCATCTAAAATATAATAACAGATATGAGCATGCAGTATCATGGAAGGCACCAAGGATTGATGGAGGAAAGAAAGGCCTAAAAGAATTATAGTCATCAGATCACCAGATTTAATGAAGGCTTTGCGTTAAGCTCAGTAGGTATTTGGAGAGTGGGAGAGAGCTGGGACAGAGGGGATCCTGTCCTAGAAAGGTTTTCTCACTTGAATTGGTCTCATTATCAGAAAGGGTCCAATTGTTGAAATGTTTCTCCAGTCAAGGAAAGAACCCTAGAAAAATTTCTATTTTATTATTTCAGTGATGCCAAACCAATTAATAAAATAATCTACATGTGAAAAGAATAATCTGCATTGCAGTGTCAGAGTCTGTTTAGTTATTCTGCCTTCTCCAGAGTATTAACTTTATTGGAACAAGAAACAAGGAAAAAGACATATGATCATATGCCTACACAGCATGCTCCTCAGATGTCTCATTTTCCTATGTCCTGATCCCCATAGCAGTTTCTTGCACAAATAGGCACCTCTTTAGTAAACACACATTGGTTAAGTGAATGATAATCATTAGTGTTTATCAAGTGTTCATTATACTAGGGGTGATCAAAATATAGTTTAAATTTCTTTAAATTATTGCAGTAAAAGACAATTGCCATTGACCTCCCTCACATTAACCCCCTGCCCCCCGTTGCTTCAAACACACTTATCTCACTGTTCTTGCCATTTTCTGAAGCAGTTCTGGAAGTCCCTTTTGTGAGTGTCAGTCATTTCAAGATGTGATCAAAAATATGGTGAATGCTGCTGCTGAGTGGCACCCAGCCAACAGAAAGACAGGCTTAGAAAACCATTACAGCATGTCTTCATCTACCTTATTCACTAGATCTGGCATCATGCAACATCTGGCTCTTCCCCAAAATTGAAATGTCCTTGAAAAGTCTACATTTTGAATTGATTCAGGACATGGAGGCAACTGAGATGGTACAACTAAAGACACTCCTGAAATAGGACTTCCAGAACTACTTTATAAAGTGGCAAGAACAAGGGACAGTATTTGGGGGGAGAGTCAATGTGTCTTTTACTGTAATAATTTTACTATAATTTTTCTAACTTAAAAGTGTACTATATCTTTCACTCATACCTTATATACTATTATATCAATTCTCACAATTTTGTGAATTCATTACTTTTGTCAAAATATCCATTTTACAGATTAGCATTTGAAGGTTTAGAAAGATTAAGTAACTTCCCTACATTCTAATAGAGGGGCTCTGACTTAAGAATCCATCAGTTAAGCCACTCATGGTATTTGTAGATGATTATTTTTCTTGTTTGGGAACCTAACATATCTGGGCTGCAATCTTGGCTCTTTCAGTTACTAGCACTCTGACGTTGGTCAAATGACCTGATCTTTTCCAACTGTAGCTCACTTAGAAAAATGAAAATACCTACATCTTATGAGGTTATTAAGCAAGGATTTTTATGAGATATGTATCAACACTGGTACAGTTTATAAGTCTAACAAGTATTGGTTTTCACTCTCCACTCCCATTCTTCTACACATTATAACCTGTGAGTTGAGAGAAAATGAGCTGAACATATTAGACAACTCTACTCAGATATAGAAATATATCTGGTATATAGAAATATATGGCTGGTATGGTGGTGCATGCCTATAATCTTTGCACTATAAGAAGGTAAGGCAAGAGGATTACAAGTTTGAGCCCAGCCTGGGTAACTTAGCAACTTACAAAGATCCTATCTCCAAAAAGAAAATTTTAAGGGCCGGGGATTTAGCTCAGTGGCACCGCACCTGCCTCGCAAGCACAAGGTCCTGAGTACGGTCGCCAGTACCAAACAACAAACAAAACAAAAACAAACAAAAAAAATTATAATATTATAATATGGACAAAAAGAGATTCTCTGGGGGAAAAAAGGAAAAAAAGGAAAAGGGTGCAGCACTGTCTTCAACATCAAACCTCCAGTCTTCTCAGAAACCCAGTGTGACCCCTACTGTCAAAAGTATGCCTTTGAGTGGGCTGGAGATTTAGCTCAGTGGTTCTGCCACCTGCCTTGAAAGTACAAGGTCCCAAGTTCCATCCCTGGTACCAAAAAAATGTATGCCTTTGAGATATATCAAAGTATACCTGGCCAAATGGCTGCCAGAATATAGGATGACACAGAGGTACTTTTCTAATCAACTGTCTGAATGGAAGAGATTTACAAAAAGAAAAAAAAAAAAAACTCACCAGGCATGGTAGTGCACACCTGTGACTCGATGGCTGAGGCAGAAGTTTGAGGCCAGCCTGGGCTACAAGTGAGTTTAAGGCCAGCCTGAACTACACAGAGAGACCCTATCGCAAAAGACAAAAAACAAAAAAATTAAAAATTAAAAACCCAGCTCCCTCTCACTGGAATCCTAGTAGGATTCAACTTAGTTCTTTTTAGGTAAAAAGCACTTTGAGTTATTCTCTAACAAATGGTTTCCCATATCTACTCTGATTTATATCTAGTCTGATTTATAAGTCTAGTATAGGGCCAGGAATCTGCTTATTATTGCAGATATTTCTCTGAACTGATCATTTAAAATTAAGTGATAACATTTTCTCCTGTCTCATTTTGTATCAGTGCTGTTAGGCTAGTTTCTGCTTGCTTTTGCTATTTTGACTTGCTTTTTGCAGTATAGTCCAGAAACTACTTGTGCCCAGGAGAAGTTTCTCCATATCCCACTTCAGGGCCATCCTCCATCTCCCTGAATTACTTTCTTCTTTGCTGTACATATTGGGAAAGAAGCTAAGTACAACAGATAGATAAGAGAGAATCAAAACATTATGGTACCCTACAGTAATAATAAAAGCCACAGCTTTGAAAAACTGACTGAGAAACAGAGCCAGGCAGCCTGCATGTTTGTGCCCTGGTTCAATCATCAATACCACAAAAAAGAAACAAGGAAGGGAGGGGGGAGAAAAAAGGGCGGGAACAAGGGAAGAAGGACAAGAGGGAGAAAGGGAGAAGAAAAAAAAGAGAGAAGGAGGGAAGAGTTTAAGGAAATTAAGTAATTTATGAGAGTTTGACTCTGAGATTCAGATCCTTATCTTTCTAACATTAACTAGCGACACCCTAAAATACTTTGGAAGAAAGCTGAATTCAGCTAAAGGTGTGAGATCTATTTTCTTTTAGTAGTTACTTACATGTATTAGTGTTGGAAATTCAGATATTTTATACACGGGCAAAATTACAGAAATGAGAATACAAATTAAGAAAAGTGCAGAAAGGTGTGCACTTGTTTGACAAAAGCAGAATATCTCTGACTATGATGTCTATGGAAATATTTTGAAAAGCATCACAATGCATTTGAGTTGGCTGGGCATGTTTTCTTAATAATTTAAACTTAATTATCAAGGCTCAGTTTAATCCTACTAAAATGTTTCCTTTTAAAACTGCATGGGTAGGGGCTGGGGATTTAGCTCACTGGTTTCACCGCCTGCTGTCCAAGTGGAAGGACCCGAGTTCGATTCCCAGTCCCCCCCAAAAAAACTGCATGTGGATCTGCTTAAAGAAGATTGTACCTGTTTGATGTTTTCAGAAAAGTAGAAGTTAGAAAATTGGGTGTTAAAAAGCTATAAATTTTTTTTAAGTTTTTTTTAAATTTAAAAAATTTTTTTAAAATAAAAAAATAAAAGCTATAAATTAACACATTATTAGACTGAAGGAAAGAATGGTCTAGTAAAGTGATTTATGTTTTTGTAGATGTAAATGATGGAATCATATTATTTATAAGCCAAGTAAAAATTTGCTATTCTATTTCATCAACTTTACTACATTGCAATAATATGATATACGGCTGAAATAGTTTCTGCCCAGCTATAAGGGAAGAAGACATTCTAGGAAAAGGGTTGAAGTTGTTAAATTACCAAAACATTCTAAACATTCTAGACAATTATGAAGCAAAAAAAAAAAAAGAAGAAGACAGGGAGGGAGGGAGGACAGAAGACTGCTTGAAAATAAGCAGTAACAGGGCCGGAGGTTTAGCTCAGTGGCGTCATCGCTTGCCTGGAAAGCACAAGGTCCTGAGTTTGATCCCCAGTTCCACAAAAAAAAGAAAAGAAGCAATAATGTAATACACTCTAGCAATCAGCTTAAGACGGGAAGGAAAATATATTTCATCATCAAATCCTCACAAAATCTACAAATAAGACAAAAACTTAAATTCCTAGTCCCAAAGCCTGAGTTCATAAAGAATTACACTTCTCCCTAGTTTCATAAATTCCTCTAATCCTCAATTCCTAGAAGCAAGCATCCTGAAAGGGGTTCATGAATGCCAAAATACCCAAAAAGAAAAGCCTAACTTTAGGGGATGGTACATATAGGAGGCTGAAGGAAACAAGAGGCAAGATGTGTGGGGCTTGGAGACTCAGAGCAAGGTCAGCCTGACTCCCAAGAGTGGGGAAGGAGAACCTCCAAAGTAACTGAGAAGGAAAATGCTTTCTGATGAATAACTCTGGAGAATCCATGTGAATACTAAGAAATGCAGGCAGGACTGAAAATGGAATGTTTCTACCATTTATAATAGTACTAAAATCAATGATATAAAATAAGCTAGAACTACTAAAAATAAACTCACATTCATTGAGCACTCATCTGTCAGGCTCAATAAATGATTGAGTCTTGTCAGCATTTTTTTATTCATATCTTACCAACTTCAGAAAATGAGACATAGGGCAGTTAAGAAGTCTTCCTAGGATGAAATAACAAGGAAATAACAGAAGGAGGAGTCAGTCCAGAAACTGGACTCCACAGCTCACATTCAGCCAACCCATTATCCCTCTAAGATGGAAATGGGAATGGAAATGTACATACTTTTGCTGTTCGTCTTCTCCTTACACTGCAAAAATACTGCACAAAAACAATAATGCCTATAATCAAACACGGACACTCTGTCCAGGAGAATAGTCAAAAAAAAAATACTGTACAAAAGATACATAGTTCCTCTTTGG